TCAGACTAAAATTCTGTACTGTTAACAGAAAATCACTAATTTTTTTGACGTGCACTTCACTGATTCAAAATATAAGGGAAATTTAACAACTTCTTAACGATTCAGTGGTCTTACGTAGTATAAATCGTCGCTAGTTGACAGTATTTCTCTTGAAAAAAAGTTGCTCTTCTTATCAGGTTTCGCAATAACAACTTGTCAACAATATACTAAAACGTATTTTATGCTAATGCATTATTACATCTGGTAGCTTTCAAGCCCGTTACTTAAGTACCGGAAACTTCCGAAGTGGCTCCCGATCATGGTCTTAAAGCTTTGCTTTTGGTATTGCTCGGTACAAAATTGGGTATCGTAATTTTTATTTGACTTTTTCACAGACAGAAATAAAATAAGCTATGTTCCGAATAGATTAGTTCGTTACACCATATATAACATGGTACCCTAATCTCCTCCTCCATTTTTGTTAGTACTTATGCCCAACAGACAATTTCAAAAATTTGAGCTGTTGTTCGCCTTGATGTCAGGTGTTGATTTAAAATGAGCATTCTATTATCTTCCACATGCAATTGTGCTTTGACTTTACAACTTAAGAAAAAAGTATATTTTATAAGTATAATTGGGAAAAACCGTTGTTTTTAGTTTTTACCCAATAAATTTTGTCTAAAAAGTCATTCAGTATAATCACCCAACTCAATAAAAATATCAAACGGGCTTAACATATACTTATAAGAAAATGACACACCTGTATGACACATAAGTATCTACAAAATTACATCTAGCTTAAAATTCATAAAATGGTTCATCAATTAAAATCAAAATTCTTTTTAATTATGCTGTTTATTTAATATCATATCCATAAGCCTAACTGTTCATTTCTTTTCAGTACCACATAAGAGAACTTTATAAAAATACATTTCAGAATAGGCATATATTAGCTTTGTTTTAGGTTCATTTTGCAAGCGTTATGAGACTATTCGCACTTGCGTATTAGTAGGTTCGAACTGTTCTGGAATTGTCGACTCGCAGATCATCAGTTGTTCAAATTCTCCAGTTTAATTTATCAGGTTTATTTATGTTGCTTTTATATTTCTTTGTGTAAATAAAAAACGATTTTTGGCGATGTGATTTTTTTATAATGTTTTTGCTGTTATTTAATTTAACTAAATGGTAAGTAAGATTTTTTTTATTAATCGGTCATTATTAATTATTACTTCATTAGGGTTTATAGGAAATAGTATTGGTTACTTTTTATTAGTTTCAAGATCAAATGATCCAACTTCAGGTTTATATTTTTTGTAGAATTGCAATAAAGGCGTCCTCCAAATGACTTAAAAAAACATCTCACCTAATGGATAGCTGACACATGAAAATTCACTTAGATATTAACTAACATCTATAAAAACGTATACTATTTTTTTTATTCCGGAAGTACCCAGTGTCTCTTTGCTCCACATTCATACGAAAGGGCTGAATGGCCTCCAAAAATACAATATAGGCTTTAGGCAAAGACAAATTTTTGAGCAATAATTCAGAATTTCTGACTTAAGCTAGGATTGCAAAAAAACAAGTCTTATAAGAGAGTTATGTCCGAAATCCTGACTTGTCTTTCAGAAGGCCTTACTTATTTTTTAGAAATTATGACATGTCAGAAATTCTGACTTATTTTTCAAAAATTCCGACCTGTCAGAAATTCTGAAATATTCCTCAAAAATTTGCCTTATTAATGGTCAGAATGGCTGACACCAAGTTAACAATTGACAGATGGCCACCCTAGAACCCTCACATTGAGGTTTACGTAGCTCAATTATTGTACAGAACCGATTCCAATTGTTACAACAAAAGAAACCTATCACCATTTTAAAGGGCAATAGAAACACCGCCCACACGTGGCCAGAGATCACGTAACACGATTCGTTATTTAATTTGAATTATCAAAATGTGATTTGTCTTTATTAAAATTAATTGTATTGTAAATTTGAACAGGCATGAAGTGTTTTTATATGAACTAAAGTATATTTAGTATGCATTTTATAAATCTGCGTTATCTTCAATGTTAAAATGGTTTTTAAAAATTATATTGTATATATACTCTAAGTTATAGGTAAAAAAATAAATTAAAATTACTCTTATTTTTATCAGTTTACAACTGAGCCGGTGTTGATTTATTTTCAAAATCCAAATAAACCACCATTTACGGAGGAAAAAGGACATAAAATGATAAAGCAACAGGAAACGGAACCGGATTGCTCGCTCGTATAAGCAACACTTGACAGAACAATACGCCGACTATGTACTTACCGACGATTAAAACGAGGGTAATTTATAAGGGGTACGCGCATTCGAAATCTGAAACACCATTGATAATGCCGGTGTTTACAGGTAGAAATGAAAAACGAAATTATGAACGTATACGATGTAATTATTTTATGAGATTAGCGTTTCTATCGTAAAATAATTGTCTAATTGCCGATCGGCCTAGATAGATGGTTAAGATGGCCTGCTATACGCGATTATTTATATATTTTTGCCGCTAAGCCGATATTGACACCTAAATTTACATCTATTCGGATATTCACAGTGAACAGGCGTTACTTTCATTCTACCGGGATCCAAGCAAACCTTCCTGGAAGAGAAACTTTAGAGGAAAACTAGCGAAACCATTACATTGTATCCAAAGCCAGTATGCAATATACCAAGAACACCATCAGAGGGATATCATAAAATCCCAAGTAAAACCCTTGGTTAGAGGAAAACCAAAACCAAAAATGACACAGATTGGAACATAGCAAAATGATTAAGGTGGGATCAGAATACGAAGGATAATTAGACAAGATTATCTACACCTGCAGCTGGAGACTGTGTCCAGAAAAAGTGAAGTATCACTTCTTTTGTGTGGCACGTTAGACTAATCTCATTATAAATTTTCATTTTCATTCATAAAGTAATGGTTTCTGATAGGGAATACGTACTTTTGTCTATGCCGAAAATTGATTAAAATGATTGATGATAAGCATTAACCAACCAGAGCTACCTCACTTATTTCTCTTGGTAATTTTGATAATTTTCATAATTTATCTGCACTTGAAATATGATTTCTGGTCTCACTTTGGAGGCCAATGTAATCGGTATATCATCAGATCAATTCGTTTTTTAATTTGTTTATATTTAATATCATCTCACCCACTGGATGTGGTGCAGTAAGCTACATTGAAGTCTTTTTTCCAGATTCTAGAAGAAAACTACAAAAGCGATAAGATATCTCGAGAAATATGTACATCAAATATAAAAATAAGTATCTTCCTTGATTCGAGTTTATAAAAAAACAAATTTATCAGCACAGAAGCATTCTGAGCGGTAAATTCAAATTAATATTGTGTTGTACGTTGGTACTTATACCGATTAATTATTGTGTACGGGATCTTTATGCGAAGCATTGATGCTCCGGGAATTGAATTCAGTCACACTCTTAAATCCAACAATAAGTTAACAGAAGATATCTTCACCCGAGTACACTTTTTATAGAATACTTAAGTCCAAACACCACCTTACCTCTAAGAGAAAACAACTGCTGAAGAATCTTCAGGAAGTAATTTGGTGAGCAATGTTAAAATGTAGAATATTGTATTTTTGTTTTTCGCTCTGTCTTTTCATTTTTTCTTTTGTGTAAGCTCTTTACTACCTCAAAACGTATAAACGGTGACTTTGAATGTTTATTTGACAATAAGGGTTAGGTGTAAGAACATACATCTTGTTATACGGATCTAGATATACTGAACTTCGTTTTTTTATAATGTAATGATTTGTTGTATTCTTAAATGATCAATAAAACACTTTCATTATTATTGTTGTTAATATAAAACAATATATTTATTAATAACTAATACTTTATTTAAAGTTAACTTAAAAGAGAATATGTTTATAAATATTAGGTAAGTAAATGAAACAAAAATTGAAGTTGGAAGATTAAAAAGATTTGAAAAAAATAAAACAGTTTTTATTAATAATAACGGGAGCATAATATGAATAAGCGATTTCATTATCATTATCAGTTCCTTATTTCAGTAACCAATTATATATAGTATTACCAATATGTATCTTAAGTATGTTATTTTTCTGTAATTGCTGGCGGTCTACACAAATATTGGTTTAGTTTTGGTCCCACGACCTCATGGGAAAATTTCTCAATAAGTTCAAGTCGACTTCACTCCGGTGAAACCGAATTAGGCAAAACGTTTGCCCGAGAAAGAAAAAGTTCGGGTTGATTAGCATACATAAGGACAGGAAATTCGAACAAAAACCTAATAAAATTTGTTAAAGGATGGTAATTACCGAAAAACGCATTGTAATTTTATTTCGGGCCTATTTAAATTCGTGAATCGGTGTGTCTATTTAAATTCGGTTTTTAATTTCCGCCTCGCGCGTTTAAATAGAAATTCCGTTTATTTATCGTTACAGAAAAACACCACATAGGTATCATGATTGGTTGGTTATTTCAAGGTGTTCGCTTTATTTAACTAGTTTATATAACGAATGGTGTCGGTGATTCGGAAATTCCCGTTATTATTATTTGGTTTCTGTATCCTTTCGCGTTGGAATTTTTGGAATAGGACGAATGGCAGAATTTTATTTAAACTTGGAAACTTGGCGCCTTCATCGCCGAGTTTTTTTTTCCTTGCACAAGTAGAAAGTTAAAGTAAAACCATGTTGTTTATTATTAAAGCGTCTTCTATAAATATTTTATCAGAATCCTTATACCAACCTAACTTAAATGAAAACTTTTCTTAATTGCTTTTATGAATAATTTTACTGCGACGCGCACTTTGAAGGGAAAACACATTTTATTATTTCTATAAATCGTGTCTCATTATTCGCAGAACATTTTTGTTGTTTTCCTTGCGTATAAAACAATTTCTTGACTGATAACCATTAAAATTTACTCTGACAATGTAAATTTAAGCGATTTCCCGAACTTCGTTATTAATAATAACTAATTTTATTTCCAGGCATCCTTCAAAAAAGACTAAGAAGGGAGAAAAGAACACGAAAAAAATTGGAAGATCAATTAGATCTTGAAATTAATCGTAGGACACAGTTGGAAGAGGCTTTAAAATCTAATGGTGCTGGAGAACAAATCAATTTAATAAACGGTAAGTTTTTCTATATTGGTATTACTTAGAAAATTAGCTCTAAATAAGAACATTTCTAAAAGTCCAAGGAACAACAATTCACAAACAACAAACTACAATATAAATTTATATATTTCACTTCTATGATCCTATATGCTATGTGTATGAATCATTTTAATAACTTAAAAAGAAAGATAATCAATACCAAAACCAAAAATATTCGACGAGAAATAATGAAAGGGTTTCAAAACTTTTCGGAACGTCAATAACAGAAACGATATTACGTCCTGTGTTATCCCTGGGGCCGAGAAGACCCTTCGGAATACCTCACAACAGATTACAAGATATTTACAAGTTTAGGCAAATTCGAAGCAGTAAAGCGATATCGATTATCCTTTATGCCCTAAGCCTTATAAAACCAGACCTTTAGTAATAAAACCACACCTTCCTGTTTGTCAGGGATTATTGTTAACCTTATTTATTCTAGAAAAACTTGCTCAAATCGAACACCAACAACTTCATCAGCAAAAGCTTTCTTCCTCGTTGACTCAGCACCAACCTCAGTCGACATCATCGCAATCTCAGACTCCTTCTATGAGTAGATTGATTCCACCCACGTCTCAGCAACAAGACATGATGCCGGAGCGTCAAGAGAGAATTAAACAGGAGATCGAAGAACCTCCACAGCAGTTTATGCCTTCCAGAGACATGCGAGAGCAACCTCCACCCCAGCCTCCAGAGAATAAACCGTGGGGTTACAGTGGCATCGATATCATGAATACTGGGGCTGCCTTCTGGCAAAACTATTCCGGTAAGTTGAAATCTGCGTTATAGTTTGGTTTATATTATTTATTCAAAGAAACCTGCTGCACAATTTCGTGAAACTTATCGAAAAGTATCTACTTAAAAGTACCAACTTGTGGTTTTTAGTTGTTATTGGGGATTTATGGGGTATTTCTTTCAAACAAGTTTGCAAGATAAAGTTTGTAAAATACAGGGTCTCCCAACGAGAGAATTTCGCCCATCTGTTATAGGAAAACTATAATTAATATTTGAAAAATTGGGATTATGTTTTGGAACAATTCGTGTTTGAAGAATTCTAGACATATTTCATGTGTGACCTAGCTATATAAAGAAGATATGCAAATTTTTCCCGTATGAGGTATAATTTCAATTAAGAAGCTCTATTTTTGGAAAAAGGTCTGTTTAACCAATTTAGTTAGTATTTTCGATAATTACTACAAGCAGTTGACAAAATAAATATCGATTCAAGTGAAATTGAGAAAAATTGTTTTTGAAATTTTCAAAGTTTTGACAGTTGTTTTCGAATAGCATTTCGGTGGTATGTACAAAAAATCAATCAACATATTTTATACACAATGTTTTGGTTTTGATTTCTGACTAATTCCGATCCATAACGTTTGTGAAGTACATCTGATCTAAACTTAAACGCTCTCTTGGTGACGGGACGATTTTTACTTTTTGTTTGCCTTTTTTCTATTGTACTTCATTTGTCTCTCCAAAGATATTTCTGGACATAAACAGGAAAAGATTGGTTTAAATACTTATAAGAAATTTAACACGGCAGTCTATGGAGCGCCATTTGAAAAAAAAATACAATGTTTTGCAATATATAAATAATCTGAATATAATTTGAGAAACACACAAATATAAAAATGTTTAATATAGAATGTTACATGTACATTTAATTTTACGAGACACTGCAATAGAATGAGGGCGCTCATGAATCCTGTTGTCACTTGTAAATAGTAATATGCAATTATATACATATTGTGAAAAATTGTATTTCGGCCGAAATAGCACCACATAGCAGGCAAACAAAAATCGCCGTTTGCTTTCATCTGTCAAACGAGTGAATTAAAATTTGCGACAGAACAATCAATAGAGATACAGTGCGTGTCATGAATGAACAAGAGAAAGTTATCTATCGCTAGCAATTTCAAAAAATAGTGTAAAACCTGATTTAAGGAAGGAGGTGGAAATCGCTAGAGAGATAATAAAAGACTTGGGCGAAGGTCCAGCCTTTAATGTATTATAATACTGCAAAAAAAAGTCAGATTATATTTTTTGTAGCTGTTATTTTGAATAGTTTTCTGTATAGATATGACATTATCGTAAAAAAGGAAAAATTGAAATTACAGATCATATTGGTTAAAATCGAGTTTTGAAATGACTAAAGAATTTGCATGAGCTTGGTCCGGTTCTGATAGGCGAACTGTATTTCTTCACCACCGATTTCGAACCGGCTTCAAAAATCGGGACTCGCCGAGTGTAGAAAAAAAAAGGCACGACACCCAGGTCTCGCGGTATGTACAATATGTCTATGTTTTGAGGAAATAACGCCCAAGTATTCCTATATACGTGTACACCTATACGCGAAACACTAAACTTTAAACGTATTCAAATTATAAGTTACGTCTGAATAATTTAGCCGACACATGCAATTTTTCAGCCATAATGAACCCCCGTTATAGCTGCGACTATCATCAAAATGGCGGATTAACAAAGATGGTTAGGAGGTATATGAATAACGCAGTGCAAATTTTGCAGTTTTTATTTTTACATCGAAAAAATGTCTACATTTTTCACTAAAATTTAAGTCGAAAAATACACATCGCCATAACGTACTAAAATCCCGGAGTTAAAGTAGGAAATAACCAAGATATATAAAGGCAACTCAAAAAATTATTGCACGAGTTTTTTAACAGTTTGGTTATTTCAATGTTTTAAAGAACATTTTGTATGTCACTAGACTACTTAGTTGTCATTAAAAAAACACTAAAATTTTTGCATTTAATTTTGCAATTTTCTGTTATTAGATCAAATAGCGCCCTCTGGCACATCACTAATGTCACTTTACTTTAATATATACGTCAAAACATGTTATACCAAAATTACTCGAGGAAGCCTTAAAGCCTTTGGTATATTTACAAGTTGGATTTTAGAGAACAATCACTTTCAATAATTTGTGTGTGTCGTGACTCCGAAAATATTTTCCGCGGTCTTCTTTTGGGAGATATTTCGTTTGCCAGAAATCAGTTACAAAAAATTGGTTTTGCCTTTTACAGACTTCAACAAACATATAAAAATAAAAATGTTTCTGCAGAATTGCATCATTTTCATTTTGCGGACTTTAGAATAACCGAAATCAGTCGCATCGACACCAACACTAATCAAATGTTTGACGCGATTCTAACACGGGGACAAAAAATGCAAACGGTAAGAAAGTTTTTTGCTAAAAAAAATAATCGAGTAATTTTGGTATAACATGTTTTGACGTATATATTAAAGTAAAGTGACATTAGTGATGTGCCAGAGGGCGCTATTTGATCTAATAACAGAAAATTGCAAAATTAAATGCAAAAATTTTAGTTGAAACATTGTTATTTGAGTTCATATCATATCGTTGGTCTCAATAATACTTAAAATTCTTATAAAAAAAATATATTTTCGCAGAAAAATTGTTGCATTTTTATATTCAAAAGAACATTTAAGGTCCAAAGGAAAAGGGAATTTTACTGTAATTGATTTACATTGATTATATTGATAATATTTAGAATTTAAATTCTTATTTATGTAAATGATTTCCGCTAAACAAAAATTGAGCCGGCCACTTTAGTAATCAATATTTTTAGCGCTCGAAGACTTCGCATAACAAAAACAATTCATTGATATAAAATTTTAAGAAATGCTTTAACGTGCAATTCCAAAACGTAAACGAGTATTTGCTCAAATCGATTCAAGTTCAACGTGACTGCAGAATATCGAGAAGTAAAAATTCATCGATCATTCGCCAAACAAATCGAACTCGATTAATCAATCTGGTCGCGTACGCGCTGGCCAATCAGAACGCGGAATGCGCGTGTCTAATTACTTCATTAAACAACCATCAGAGGCCGATACAATCGGAGTTTAATTAGCTACGCGATTCGTCGTTGTCGGAATTGAAAAATAACTTATTATGTAAGGTGATTCAGCTAACTCATTTCTTTAAGAATGAAAAAACGCTTAAAATTTATATTTTAACGAATTTTATCCCGTGTCGTAGGTATTTCGTAGTTTGTTTGAATTTGTTTACATTTTCTGTGAGTTATTCCGAATAATAATAATTATAAAGAAAGTAATTGTTTTGTTTTTCTGGTCGTCTTGTGCAGTAACTTTGATGGTATGCATTCTTCGTTGCAGCAACAGTGAAATCGAATCGAATCTAAATGAATATGCTACATAAATTTCAAATCGTACGGCCGACAAAAAAAAAAGAAAATGTAAAATTATCAAGTTAGAAACATAATTATATTATTTTAATCTGGACAACCGAATGCTTAATTCATTTATTTTATCTGCACGCCTATTTTCAACTGCAAATTGCTTGTACTGAAGAGAAAATAATATACTTGATTATTTATTGTGTTGATTTTTGGTAGATTCATTTTAAGGGTTTATTTCCATTCCGGCTTTAGAACACGGTAGAATACTAAAAGAAAATTACGAAATATCGCATTTTATAACCGTTAGAAGCAGTACTGATGATCCAGGTGCATATTGGCGGTGTTCGCTCTTTTGCTGTTTATTAACAACGCTCGGTCAGCGACCTGTCAAATTTGCCCAATCATGATAAGTTTGCAATATTTTTTTCTATAAAAACAGTTACATTTTAAAGGGTAGAGCGTCGTTTCCTTTCAAAATACGTCGCAAAACCAAACCTAACGGTAAATTCAACGGATGATTCTTGATGACAGCCAACAGGGATATTATTATTAATATTTGATATTTTATAATCGATGGCTTATTAGAAATATATGGAGAACGGAATAAAACTCAAGCATCGATCATGAGGTTTGTTTGCAGCTTACCAATTACTTGCTTTATCATATTAATCACATACAGGGTGTTTGCAAAATATCTAATTAAAGAAAGAAATTTTTAAACGAAACTAACTGTATTTTTTTTAATTGAAAATATTATAAGATACCATACCAATTTGAAACCGTTTTGCAGTTGGGGTTTTGGAGCAAATAAACACTATAATGCTATTTTTGTTAATAAGTCTTAGCCATATATTTTGACAGCTGAATTAGATAGAACTTATCACACAATTTATTTTATTTATTAATTTATGTTATTTTGGTATGAAGAACGATTTATGAAATTTATTTTGTATTTACAGTCAGTACAATACGATGACAGCAAGAACATCTATATTCAATCTGCGTCATTGAACAGTGCCTTAAACAATATTGTACTAAAATATACGTCAACAGAGTGAATTTTAAAGACAAATAAAATGTATAATTATTTAATTACATTAAAAAAAATTAACCCCACTCTTCTTAGATTGTGATGGAATATCAAGGGGATCCAAACTTTCCAGAAAAAATTATTTGAACTGGTTTTTGTTTCAACTCCAAAACGACTCACAATATTTATATATTTTGCAAAATGTGTATAATTTTGTAAACACCCTGTATGCAGTTACCTACATATTATGATGTCATAATATGATACACCGTCCCATTGGCAAGTCGTAAACAAAACTTAGAATTTTAATCTTGATAGATAGATAGTTGATAGTGATGTAATTATTTCCATAATCGGTGCTTTTCGCAAAAATTTCTAAAACATAATTTTTATATCCAAAACATATGTTACATAGACAGTTTCCAAAAATTTCACCCTCTCACCTAATATGTCGGAACATCGACCCTCCGTCATCTAGAAAAGCACTATACTCTGAAGTATCGTACTTCTTTCGTAGGGAAGTTAAATAATTCCTAATTGAGTTCCTAATTT